CTTTTCTTTTTCTTTTCTTTCTTTCTTTTCTTTCTTTCTTTTCTTTCTTTCTTTTCTTTCTTCCTTTTCTTTCTTTCTTCCTTTTCTTTCTTTCTTTTCTTCTCTTCTTCTTTTCTCTTCTTCTTCCTTTTCTCTTCCTTTTCTTTTTCTTTCTTCTCTTCTCCTTCTTCTCTCTTCCTTCTTCTTCTTTCTTCCTTTTCTCTCCTTTCTTCTTCTTTCTTCTTCTCTTTCTCTTCCTCTTCCTTCTTCTTTCTTTCTTCCTTCTTCTTTCTTCTTCTTTTCTTTCCTTTCTCTTCTTTCTTTTTCTTCCCTTTCTCTTCTTTCTTCCTTCTTTCTTTCTCTTTCTTTCTTCCTTTTCTTTCTTCTTCTTCCTTCCTTTCTTCTTCCCTTCTCCTTCCTTCCTCCCTTCTTCTCCTTCTCCCTTCTCTCTCTTCTTCCTTCTTCCCTCCTTCTCTCCTCTCCTCTTCCTCCCTTCCTCTCTCTCCTTCTCTCTCTCTTCCTTTCTCTCTTCTTCCTCTCTTCTCTTTCTTCTTCCTTTTCTCTTCCTTTCTTCTTCCTTCCTTTTCTTCTTTCTTCCCTTTCTTTCTTCTTTCTTCTTCCTCTTTCTTTCTTTCCTTTCTTCCCTTTCTCCTCTTCCTCCTTTTCCTTTCTTCCTTTTCTTTCTTCTTTCTTCTTCCTTTCTCCTTTCTTCCTTTCTTTCTTTACTTTCTTTCTTTCTTCTTCTTTCTTCTTTCTTCTTTTCTTATTCTTATTCTTTTCTTTTCTTATTTTTTTCTTTTCTTATTCTTTTCTTTTCTTATTCTTCCTTTCAATTCATTTTTCAAAGCCTACACAATCTTTAAGTGAATTGAACTGATAAGAGCAGTCAATTGAAAAAAAATTCCCAGAGATTTTCCCAAAATGAACGCCGACAAACTTGAAGGGTTTCGATTTTGAAATTCATTAGATCAATATTTTTGAGGTTCAGAGCCAAATCTTTTTTTGAGTAGTTTTTTTTGAAAATATTTTTCTTCCTTTCAATTCATTCTATTTTTCTTCCTTTCAATTCATTTTTCAATTCAATGTTAACCCAAACTTTCTAAATAGACATTCAGTTTGATAGATCATTAGACCAATATTTTTGAGTAGATCTTATTCTTCCTTTTAATTCATTTTTCAATTCAGTGTTAAACTTCAGTGTTAACCCAAACTTTCTAAATAGACATTCAGTTTGATAGATCAATATTTTTGATCATTTTACCAATATTTTTGAGGTTCAGAACCAAATATTTTTTTAAATACTTGAAAATAAACAAAAATTTGACTAAATTTGACGAAATTTATTGGGAAATTTTCTGGGTAAAAGAAAATTCAAAAAATCTTTCAAAGAATTTCTCTTACAACTCCGATAGCCAACTAATTACCCAAAATGCGTGCCAGTTCGCCCCCCAACAAAAAAAAAATCGATTTTAGGGTCGTTCGAGCACGCCCTTTTCTTGTTGTTGATATTGTGTGACTCATCCAAATCTCGTGTACTAAAATTTCACAATTTCTTCGATCTTCCGCAAGAAATTTTTGGTGTGTGCTCCAATTTAACGATTCGCTTTATTTTTGATTTCAATTCATGAAAAAAAAGCGATTTTTAAGCCCCATCTCGATTTTGCTCAACTAAACTCAACAAAAATTGCTTTTCTTCAATTTCTTTTATTAAAAATTATCATTGTGCCATCCAACTTGAAGATTCCGGGTACTTATTTGGCAATTCGACATAATTATAGCGATTTATAAGCTCCAACTCTTTCTCTCGGCTTTCCCATGTCTCAAAAGCCTCTCAATGACTCAATTCTCAATTCTCAATCTTTTCTATTTCTTTTTGAATTCTTTTTTTGATTCTTGAATTTATCTTGCTCGTTTTTACTTCTTTCTTTTAAAATAAAGCTTTTGAAAAGTGAAATCAATTAAATTTTAGATCGGTTCAATTACTGAATTTATTGAATAGAATTTGGTTCCTTAACTGTCTAAATTCGGTTTCATATCTCTCTGAATTTGGTTCCTTATTTCTAGAAATTCGGGTCCTTACCTCTCTAAATTTGGTTCCTTATCTCTCTAAATTTGGTTCCATATCTCTCTAAATTCGGGTCCTTATCTCTCTAAATTTGGTTCCTTCTCTCTCTAAATTCGGGTCCTTATCTCTCTAAATTTGGTTCCATATCTCTCTGAATTTGGTTCCTTATCTCTCTAAATTTGGTTCCTTTTCTCTAAATTTGGTTCCATATCTCTCTAATTTTGGTTCCTTATTTCTAGAAATTCGGGTCCTTATCTCTCTAAATTTGGTTCCTTCTCTCTCTAAATTCGGGTCCTTATCTCTCTAAATTTGGTTCCTTCTCTCTCTAAATTCGGGTCCTTATCTCTCTAAATTTGGTTCCATATCTCTCTGAATTTGGTTCCTTATCTCTCTAAATTTGGTTCCATATCTCTCTGAATTTGGTTCCTTATCTCTCTAAATTTGGTTCCTTCTCTCTCGAAATTTGGTTCCATAAATCTATAAATTCGGTTCCACAACTCTCTGAATTTGGTTCCATATCTCGTCCAAAAACCTTTTTTTTTCCAAAAATCTGAAACTCTCAATTTAACTTTAGCAAAGCTTTCTGTGCCTTCCAGATCGTGCAAAAACTTTTCTAGATTCGAATTAAAAACAACCAACAGCACTTTTCTCGAGCCTCATCCAAATCGCTTCAATTACGCAACTTTGAAAGTGTTCTTTTTCCACTTAGCTTTACTCTTTTCACCTGCTTTCTATCAGAAGAATTGTGCTTACAAAATTGTGCTCTTTTCGCGATTCCCTGAACATATCTCTTTCACTTGCCCATCTCAATTCTCGACAATCATTTCCCAGCACTACCAGTTTACACACCAATCCCTCTCTCTCTCTCTCTCTCTCATCTCCTTGTCGCTTTTTCTGACGCCAATTCTCAGCAGAGACAATAATTTCTCAATTCTGCAAGCTAAACAGATGTCTTTTTCTTTATTTTAAGGAAAATAGGAGGCAAATATTTAATTATTGCTCGATTTTTCTTATCATCTAAAAATTTTCTTAATATTCTTGAAAATCAAATTTTAAAATTAGCAATTTGTTAATCCTGGAGGGCACAGATTCCAAAAAAATCACTTTAATCGTTTCAAAGTTTCAATTTTCATTTTTGATTTTGAAAGAATATTGTAGTGAATATTTTTGGAGTTTTCTAAAAAGAAAAAACAAATTTTTATTTGATTTTTGTCGATTCTGGAGGTCATTCATTTCAATTATCCTTTTCAAAATTTTGATTTTTTAAACTTTTCAGTTTTTGTAAATGAAATAGGTTTGATGCATAAGTCTTTTCGTTCCTTTTCGTCTGCCGTTTCAAGCCAACAAATGCACCAATTAAACTACGGTTGATTTCATTAGAAAAAGCAATTATTTTTCTGCAAAATAACATTAAAACGGGTTTAAAAATATTGAATGCCTGGATTTTCTTGAGAGTATAAAGTCGGGTAGTCAAAAAGGGCTAACTCGATGATGCGGTTTAGACACCTTAGCTAACGCTAGCTACAAATTAATCTTTCAATTTTTATGTTTATTGTCGAATTTTCGCATTTTTTCTTCTATATAACTTTGTTTTAGAGCTTTATACGAGCAACGAAAGAGATCAATGCTATAACTTTTTTTCCATTCAACCAATTTTGTTCAGATTTTGTATTTTGTTTAGTTGGAATGCACACACAAAAAATTGTGAGAATTGGGAGATTTTGATTTACTTGCAGCCGATTTTGCATTAGTGCTGCCCCGCTTGCCTCACCCCCTACCGCTCATCCCCCTCCCAATCGATGATGCGGTTTAGACACCTTAGCTAAAGAAAACCTATCTTCGTGTCAATAGATAAAAGATAGAGAAAACAAAACGTTTGATATTTCGCCAAAATTTCAGAGAAATTCATTCAGCCAATTCATTTTCCGTAGAGTTTTTTAGAGATTTTTACGAAAAAGGCGTTTTTCACTCTCGAATTTGCTTGAAAGTGAACCGAAATTCATTTAAAAAGATGCAAATTGAACCAAAAAACACTTTTTTTATAGAGCAAACTATAGATTAATTGATGAATTTGTTACTTTTTAACAGAAGTACGAAAAAAACGAAAAGACTTATGCATCAACCTAATAGATCGGTTTAATTATGGTTTAATTATGGTTTAATTATGGTTTAATTATGGTTTAATTATGGTTTAATTATGGTTTAATTATGGTTTAATTATGGTTTAATTACTTACTTTAATTACTTACTTTAATTACTTACTTTAATTACTTACTTTAATTACTCAATCTTTCACTTTTACTTTAAAAGCTTTATTTTTTTTCATAAACTTTTACTCATTCTGAATGTCATTTGATATTATAAAGATTATTGTAAAGATATTATTAGGCTGGCAATTTATAAATGATCGTTTTTGGGTAATGTTTTTTCTAGCATTCATGAGCTAATATATTTTTGAGTGATTGCATACTTTTTAAAAATCAAAACGCTTCATCGATTACATAGTTTCCCAAAAAAAGTTCAGAACAATCGAATCTTCGGAAGGTTGATTTTTAAATTCGGCTCAAAATTTACACTTTTGTGCTAATTTAATCGATTTTCGTTTGAATTTTAAAAAAAAAGATTAAAAGAAAGATTAAAAGAAAGATTAAAAGAAAGATTAAAAGAAAGAGAATCGATCGAACCGATCGATTGGATTATTCTGAACGTTTTTTGGGAAACCAAACCGTTTTTTTGATTGGATAAGCCGTTTTTTCAGAAAACACATTACCCAAAAACGATCGTTTATAACTTGCCAACCTAATATAAAGAGATGATAAAGAGATTATAAAGATATTATAAAGAGTTTTAGATTCCTATTCGCAATCTGTGATGTTTATTTGATTCGAACTATAGCTAGAGTAGGAGTTTTTCATTCCGAAAATCCGTCAAACTGACGAACAAAGGCCTACAAAAGATGTCGACACCAAAAGAGAAGAAAGGGGTTTGTTTCGAGAATTCTTTTTAGTTTATTAGTTTGAAAGTTCTCCTTTCCCAGTTCCCATCAACCTTCAAGTCTTTAAATTTCATTTTTTTCAGGTCCGAATTCGGAACCTCTTCGGGCGGATCTTCTCTCCGTCGGATAAGAGTTCAGACACTTCGCCATCAAGCAGCATTGACATCAGCCAACCGTACAACACCGGTAACTTTTCTGGAAAGCACACTGTAGATTAAGCTTTAAAAAAATCGAGAAAAACGATTTCCAAAGATTTCCGAAGATTTCCGAAGATTTCCAAAGATTTCCAAAAATTTTCCAAATCCCAAAGTCCATACTTTGCTATAATATGCTAATTTTTCAGTTCACCGGATACACGTTGGTTATGACGGGCAAAAGTTCAGCGGTCTTCCCCAGCCTTGGATGGATATGTTATTAAGAGATATTAGGTGGGTATTAGGTATACAATTTCGTTGGCTATTTAGCAATTTGGTTATTGCTATTTTTATCAATCGATCCGTCTTGAATTCAGCTTTAAAATCAGCTATAAAACGTCAAAATTCGACAAATTTAAGGTACTCTCCCAAGAAATCGGAAAGGACTTTTCCATCAGCCCAATAGTACCTTAGAGGATCTTGGTCACCCTTGCACTAAACTTGAAACAATCAAAAAAGTCAGAATCTTTGTAATCTCGCACTAGAAAGCTTTTGTGCTATCCAGATTAGCCTATAGAATTGCAAATGAAGCGAAAACATCTTTGAATAATCTTATATAGGCGAATACTAGAAGCCAGGGGGTTTTGGTGAAGCGTTGATTGGTTAAAAGGTGATTCGTTGTTTGGGGGGATGGTTTGGGTGTGGACGAAAACGAAAGATGGAGAAAATGAAAGGGTTAATGATTTCAAAAAATGATTTCAGTTTGGCTGATCAGAAGAAAAATCCATCGGCTGTGGTGACCGCGTTGAAATTCTATGCAGCTAGTTTGAAAGAGCATGAGCAAGCGAAGTTCATGACGCCAAAAAGTGAGTCTCTGATCTTGAGCGAGTCTTGAAACGGCTGGCATAAGCTAGCTACCATTGGCTAGCATAAGCTAGCATAAGCTAGCTAGCCTTGGTTAGCATAAGCTAGAATTGGCTAGGATAAGCTAGCTAGCATTGGCTAGGATAAGCTAGCATTGGCTAGCATAAGCTAGCTAGCATTGGCTAGGATAAGCTAGCTAGCATTGGCTAGCATAAGCTAGCTAGCTAGCATTGGTTAGCATTGGCTAGCATAAGCTGGCATAAGCTGTCAATCAATCAGTCAAACGAGCTCTAGGCGTTTACATGGCATCTGATGAAGACGATGTCGACATCACTCTTGATGGACAAGTCACTGAACATTTACGATCGCTTGATGTCAAATCTCGTATGTTTGCTTTGAACTAGGGAATTTCGTTAAATTATCGGCTAATTATCGTGACTTTTTGACTCGGGGAAATAGCCTATCTACTGTTTCCGAATCTGCAATCAGCATAAGCTGGCATAAGCTGGCATAAGCTGGCATAAGCTGGCATAAGCTGGCAATTCACACTGTTTCCGAATCTGCAATCAGCATAAAGTCCACATTAGGACTCTAAATCATCTTTAGGGTTCTTTAGGTCCTCTTTAGGATCCCTTATGGCTTCGGCTGTAAGGGAAAAGAGTTTCCCTACCTCTGCGCGTTTCTCCTTGGTATTTGCCTTAACGAGTAAGCAAAAAGGGACAGGTTTAGCTTTATAGGAAACAATAAAACTTTAAAAAACAAAAGATTTTCATTGAAAGGAACCAAAATCCAAAAGATCATACGCTCGGCAAAAGCGTGCACTAACCATTACACCATCGAGGCCGTTGCCTGAAGACAGTGCTTGAAGACAGTGATAAAGACAGGGCCTCAGAAAGAGACCCCAAAAACTTGTATGCTAAATAACTCGCGATAGGGAAACGTTTGACAAAAACTGATTGCAGATTCGGAATCAGCGTGAAAAACTGCATAGGGTATTGCCAGAAAAAGTCACGATAAGTGAACAACATTCCCTAGTAAACACCCCTCAATGTTCTTTCAGCTTCGTCTTCAAACGGTTCGCGAAGCATCCCTACCTCTTCCACCAATCAATCACTATCAGAAAGAGAGGTTTAGCGATACTGGATCTCATAAATCACATTCAAACATTCAGCCACCCAGCCCAGCTCCTCCACAATTAAATGAAGTTCCCTCCGTCCCACCACCAGTCGCTCCACGCTCCTCCAATGCTCATAAACAACCACCGCCCCTACCACCACAAAGGAGTGAACCCGTATTGCAAAAGGTTTCTAAATGATTGTAGAAAAGGTTTACGTTTAAAAAGCTTTTTTTAGATTTGCTCAAACGAATCAGAAATGAACGCAAATCTCGGGCATTCGGCTCCCGTGAAACCTCCTCGTATCCCGCCTCGAATTCCACCAAAACCAGCGGTTTGTCATTTTTTTTTCTTGTGCGATCCAGGATTTCTTGAATTTAAAATCGTAAAGCTAAAGATCGTAAAGCTAAAGATCGTAAAGCTAAAGATCGTAAAGCTAAAGATCGTAAAGCTAAAGATCGTAAAGCTAAAGATCGTAAAGCTTAAGATTGTAAAGCTTTGGATCATAAAGCTTTGGATCGTAAAGCTTTGGATCGTAAAGCTTTGGATCGTAAAGCTTTGGATCATAAAGCTTAAGATTGTAAAGCTTTGGATCATAAAGCTTAAGATTGTAAAGCTTTGGATCGTAAAGCTAAAGATCATAAAGCTTATCGTAGCTTTGGAAAGTCTGAAAAATAGTTAAAGTCTTTTTTGACGTGAGAAATACTGTTAAGTTACTTTTAAGGTTTTCAAAAACATTTTTTTATGCTTAAATTCGTGAAACCTGGAGGATTAATTAAAGAATTTTTAAATTTAATTAAATTAATTTGACTTTTTTTTGGTAGTGATGTGTTGTTAGTGTTGTAGTGTAGCTTGTGCTTAAAAGGCTGTTTCTTTTTTTGCTTTTAAAAAACAAATTTCCCGCTTTTCATATTTTTAAAGAAAAATCTGGGATGCAGAATATGAGTAGAGAAAAATGAAAAAAAAATATCAAGTATCAAGTGGGTAGAATTCATTCCAAGGAACGAGAAAGCATCGGCATAGTCTTGAAGAAAGCATCGGCATAGTCTTGAAGAAAGCATCGGCATAGTCTTGAAGAAAGCATCGGCATAGTCTTGGAGAAAGCATCGGCATAGTCTTGGAGAAAGCATCGGCATAGTCTTGGAGAAAGCATCGGCATAGTCTTGGAGAAAGCATCGGCATAGTCTTGGAGAAAGCATCGGCATAGTCTTGGAGAAAGCATCGGCATAGTCTTGGAGAAAGCATCGGCATAGTCTTCGGCTCTTGGTTTAAGACGTCAAGAAGGACTATAGCTGGCAAATGTGTTTAAGTCTTGGAATTTCAAATGATAAGATTGAAATAAACAACCCGGCTACTGCTTATTCACTTGCTTAGCCTCACCTTTTTGATTCATTTTCAAAACTCCATAAATTCAACCAAGCATTTGATAGCCGATCGTCGAAAATATCAAGTGAAAAAAGAATTGGTGCACTGTATCGATACTATAGTTGCTAATTGAAATGGTCACATAGACTGTTGGAAAGATGCCCAACTTTCAGTGTGATCTCCAGCTTGACAAAGCAGAAAGCAAATTTGGGTTCAGAATTGGAAATTAGCGCTGAAATTGAGCTCTACTCAATCATCGCGATAATCCCTTTCCCTAAAATCCGATTTCTAAGCTTATTGATGTAATTTTTTGACTGATGTAATTAAACTATGCCCTCCAGAATGTCTCCCAATGCCTCAATCAATCAATTCCAATCAATTCCAACCAATTCCAACCAATCAATCCCAATCAATCAATTCCAACCAATCAATTCCAACCAATCAATTCCAATCAATCAATCCCAATCAATCAATTCCAACCAATCAATTCCCATCAATCAATTCCAGTCAACCAATTCCAATCAATCAATTCCAATCAATCAATTCCAACCAAACAATCCCAATCAATCAATTCCAATCAATCAATTCCAGCCAATCAATTCCAAGCAATCAATTCCAACCAATCAATTCCAACCAATCAATTCCAATCAATCAATCCCAATCAATCAATTCCAACCAATCAATTCCAATCAATCAATCCCAATCAACCAATTCCAATCAATCAATTCCAACCAATCAATTCCCATCAATCAATTCCAGTCAACCAATTTCAACCAATCAATCCCAATCAATCAATTCCAACCAATCAATTCCAATCAATCAATTCCCATCAATCAATTCCAGTCAACCAATTCCAACCAATCAATTCCAACCAATCAATTCCCATCAATCAATTCCAACCAATCAATTCCAACCAATCAATTCCAACCAATCAATTCCCATCAATCAATTCCAACCAATCAATTCCAACCAATCAATTCCCATCAATCAATTCCAGTCAACCAATTCCAATCAATCAATCCCAATCAATCAATTCCAATCAAAATCGAGTCAAACAGAAAACATGAAAAAAAACCGTTTTTGATTAGTCTTTGTTGGTTTTTATGCAATGAAATCGAGAAATTTCCCCTCATTTGACAAATTAAACTGAGCTGGTGATGGACTGGAAATCGATGAGAGAAGGAAAAGCCGAGAAATATCACTCTCGGTGATCGAGACGAGATTTATGGCCTTGAGGGGTTGTTCGAGTATATAATTCTTCAAATCATCAGATCAGTAAGCTCTGATAGCTTTAGATTCTCGTGTGACATCCAGAATGGCTGAATATCTTATTAATTTGCACATTAGCTACCGTAAACCATTGAAATTCCGCTAGGTGACGAAACGACACCGAAATTCTTCAAATCACCAGATCAGTAAGCTCTGATAGCTTTAGATTCTCGTGTGACATCCAGAATGGTTGAATATCTTATTACTTTACACATTAGCTACCGTAAACCCTTGAAATTCCGCTAGGTGACGAAAGCCACCGAAACCAACTCCTCCAAAACGATACCCCGTCACCGATTTTCGTTTTTTTTTCTCCATAGTGCACTCCAGCTTCGCCGTTTTCGCTGGTGAACTCATATAAAGTCGGTTTAATTACCCAATTTCAGCGGTCATCTTTGATCTCATTGTTTGGGGTGCGAAATTTGCCATTTTTTTAAAAAGTTTTCTTTGTCAAGGGTTTCTTTGTAGGGTTTACGAGAAGGGGAAAGTTGAAAGGAAAGATGGAAATGGGAATGGATGGGGAATGGCGTTAGTTTTTGGCTCTCTTTCACTTTTCCCTACAAAAAGCCGTTCCATTTCTAATGGATTCCCCGGCAGATCTGTTTTTCATCATTTCCATTTGTTTCTATTCTCTTTAGGCTTAGTGAGAAGCTGAGAAAGTCTAGAAGTAAGTCTAGATCTAAGACCGGAGCTAAGACTGGAGCTAAGACTGGAGCTAAGTCTAAAACTAAGCCTAGAGCTCAGCCCAGATCTAAGTCTAGATCTAAGTCTAGATCTAGCCTAGATCTAAGCCTAGATCCAAGCCGAGATCTAGCCTAGATCTAAGTCTAGATCTAAGCCTGGATCCAAGCCTAGATCCAAGCCTAGATCTAAGCCTGGATCCAAGCCTAGATCTAAGTCTAGATCTAAGCCTAGATCCAAGCCGAGATCTAAGCCTAGAACTAAGCCTAGAACTAAGCCTAGAACTAAGCCTAGATCTAAGCCTAGATCTAGCCTAGATCCAAGCCCAGATCTAGCCTAGATCTAAGCTTAGATCTAAGCCTAGATATAACCCTAGAGCTAAGCCTAGATCCAAGCCTAGATCCAAGCCTAGATCTAAACCCAGATCTAGCCTAGATCTAAACCTAGATCTCCTCTATCCTTTTTTATTGAAATCTTTTTGATAGGATTCTTTTGTGACATCCAGAAAACCCATTTTAATCATTTTTATAAGCTTTTTCTAGAAAATGGATAGACAAACAGCTTGAGCAAAAAAAAATGACAACAATTCTTAGAAAAATGAGGTATTTTTTCGACAAATAGACATAAAAATAGGAAAATGAAAAGAAACGGGAAATTTCCGCACGCGAAAAAACGTTGAAAGGGAACAATAGCGCTTTCACTTTCTTTTTTTTATTCGCATTGTATTAGACCATTCGATTCCTGAAACACTTTGCCCGGTTTTCCTTGGTCCTAGTCTTTCAAAATAACGAAATTTTGATGTTTCCAATAGATCTGGATAGCACATCATCTTTTGGAATTGAGAAAATTTTGAATTGAACAAATTTGAATTTTGTAAATTTTCCCTTTGACGACGTCATTGATGACGTCATTTAAAATTAAACTTTTTCATTTTTCTGTAGATCTGGATGTCACTGAACATTTCTAGCATTTTTGCAACACTTCCTTTGGCCTTGAGTCTAGCGTTTGAGCTCGCTCAGACGAATGGAGACGACCTTCTTGACTCTGGGAAATTATTATTATTTTTTTTCAAACCTCTTGAATCTCTCTCAAACTTTTGCAATATATCCTGTGCGTTCCAGATTGCACTTTCCAATAATCAGAAAATGAAAAATTCGTTTTAAACCGGTGTTACGTCGTTGCATAGCATTGTCCCACTTCACAAATCCATCCAGTCTCTTCAGTAATTCGGACTTGTTTGAAACCGTCGCTAGAAGGCCCCTTCTCGACTTTTTCCTCATTTTCTCCAACAATTTTCCGCCTTTTTGTTTGTTGATTTGCACTCCGGCTTTACTAAGACGCCTCGAAAATTCTTTAAAATTTCTTTTTTTTTTAATTTCCTCGTTTTTTTCTTTTCTCTTTCCCTTTTGTGCATTCCAACTAAGAATTAATCGCTTTAGTTTTGCTTTTAAATTTCTATAGAATCGATAAATTCTATAAATTCTATAGATTCTATAGATTCTATCTATTTACATTGAAAAGTCAACACTTGAGACAAAAATGGAGATGACCTCTTGAAGTAAGGCAAATTTCTTTTTCTTTCTTTTACACTCTTTGTTCTCCAGAGCTAACAGAAATTTGTTTTTTGGAAGAGATTGAATTGAAGACACAGAATTGTATTCAATATTTTTAGCCTCGGTTTAGTTGCCCAACTTTATCCACGTTATGCAGTGCGTGGGATTTAGATGATGATTTAGATATTGAGATCTATATTTTATTCCGAATCCGAATCACTAATCTAGCGAGAAAATACAATAAAATAGAAGCAATCGTTTGGTTCAGTGTTTCAAAGCCATAGGAGAAAGAATACAAAGTAGGCTCGGTCCCTTTTCTCCTCTCCTCCGTCTCCTCCGATCACACAAATGTCTCATCCGTCTCCTAAAATAGAATCAATCGTCTCCTCCATCTCCTCCGATCTCCTCCATCTCCTCCGTCTCCTAAAATAGAATCAATCGTCTCCTCCATCTCCTCCGATCTCCG